CGAAAGTGTGTCCAAAGTATGTGCGAGAGAGAAAGATATACGAGTGAACACGTCCTTTCTGCGCATGCGTCGAAATTGACAAATACTATAGGCAAGTAATATATAGTGTGAAGAATAGGTAACAAGACTGTTATAAATGATATTATATAGGGATGTAATAGTGAAATGTTAAACAAATATTAATATATATCATTATAACACAAGAAAATAATTTTTATTGATGTTTAAAATGAATCAATATTGTAAACTTACGTCTAATATAATCTTTGTGTATTAAATTGGTAGCGCACTTAGCTTCATAGAATAAACGCAAATTAACATAAATTACAATTATGCTTTTAAAAGTTGCGTTTTATGATTGTCAAACGCATCTTGCTGCAAAATGTGTTCTTGATTGCACTGTCATTAAACATTGAATGACAAACATCGTTAAACACTTTCATAGTCACAATTGTCTTAATATTTTTTCTAGTGCGAATTATAATTTGATCGAATAACTGCTTCAGAGCATTATGTTATTTTGACATCATCCGAAAAATTAAATTACCTTTGTTTTTAATAGTAATCAAAATTGAGTCAGTCGATTTTGACAAAAGTTACACAAATGTGACAAATGTCCTAATAACTTTCTTACAACATCCCCCTAATAGCATATGATATCATTTAAATATTCTACACTCGTACTGAAAGTACTATGGTCATATGTACTATTGCTTAATGTACCACAGAACATTCATATGACATCTTGATGATATCATTTCTCGAATATTCTTAAGCTCATCTTCAGAATATATACCCTAACAGCACGTGATATCATACTGTATTTATACTGAAGTACTGTAATCATACCAAATATAATAAGATTATTCGTATAAAATCTATATATCCCAACTAACAAGATAATGTCATTATGACGATGATTTAAGGTCATTTTTTGTCAGTGTACTAAAAAACAACATAAAATAAACGTAACATTTGTCACGAAATATTATCATAAATATATTGTCATTTAATCGTCATTTTTAAGTCATTTTTAATGAATAAATAATGAAATAACATTATTAATTACTATCTTTCTTAATTAACCTTAATATATAAATAAGAAAAATATTTCTCATATTTAATACAATTATTGATAAATTCATAAACAAATAAACAAAATATTCAATCAAAATATTCAACAATTTATAAACAATTTTCATAATAAAAATAACTCTCATTAAACATAATATATTATAGATTCACGGATCTATATATGTAATTAAATTATCCATATAAATTACATATGTAATCAAGATTTTAAAATTGAGACTATTTATATAACAATTACGACGATTGTTGTCTTCGGACAACAATTATATAACTTATATAACAATATATTAGGTGTACAAAAAAGTTTTGAGCTTTAGATTTCATACAATCGAAATAACAATTTAAATTTTATATATCTTCCCACCCTTTTGCGGTTTTAAAGCGTTGACATTTGACCTTTTAAAATACGGTTTGGCGTTTGATGCACATAACCTCAGTAGTGTTCACGATGGCAATAACAAAAGAGCATATTCGATTTTCCATCCACTTCGCGTTTTATCTGAAGAAAAATGCTGCTGAAGCCACTGCAATGATTTGTGCTGCATGTGGAGAGAACGCTGTAAGTCATACTACATGTAAAAGATGGTATCAAAAATGTCGCCAAGGAGATTTCAGTCTTGAAGATGAACCGCGTGCTGGACGCCCTCAAAAGATTAAAACGGACGAATTGCAAGTACTGCTGGATATAAACTCTGCGCAAACTGAAAAGGAGCTTGCAGAATAGCTTGGCGTTACGCAGCAAACCATTTCCGTACGTTTACATACGATGGGAAAGATTCAGAAGGAAGGCAGATGGATTCCGCATGAATTGTCCGAAGACAACAATCGTCGGCGTGACACTGCATCACTTTGCTTTCAAAGTTCCGGGAAAAAGATTTTCTGCACAAAATCATTATAGGCAATGAAAAGTGGATTCTTTATGATAACCCTAAACAATAAAAAATTATGGTCCCTGGATCCTGGTCAACCTTCGACGCCAAAGCCCAATATCCATGCCAAGAAGATTTTGCTCTGTATCTGGTGGGAAAGGTGTGTTGTATTACGAGTTGTTACAACCGGGTGAAACAATCACGGCAGACCGTTACCAACAATTGACCAATTTGAGCGATGCATTAGAAGAAAAGAGATCATTTACTGGCCAAGGACGTCGTAAAGTGATCTTGCTTCATGACAATGCTCGACCACATGTTACGAAAGCGACTCAGGACCATATCTTTGCGTTAGACTGGGAACTTCTCCCGCACGCGGCGTATAGCTCAGACATGGCGCCTTCCGATTACTACCTATTCCGGTCGCTGCAACATCATTTGGCTGATACACATTTCGTGAGATTTCAAGAGATACGAAAATGCATTGATGACTTTATCGCTTCGAAGCCGATGAGCTTCTATCGTCAAGGAATTCGCAAACTACCCGAAAGATGGTAAAAGGTCGTTGATGCAAACGGGGAAAATTTCGCTGATTAATATTTTTTTGTTTGTTTTTGAATAAAGATTGAATTTTACAAAAAAAAGCTCAGAACTTTTTTGTACACCTAATACATGTATTCTCTCGAATCCCCACGACCGGTATTCCAGAGCGATGTTGGTCTCTCACTCGATGGAATTACTATAATTACTATTGTATAATTAAACTTAGAATTTTGATGTAAAAATATAACAGATATTCTATCAGTATATGTTATCACATTGTCATCAGATTCAAATCTCAATGTCAATGTCCTGATAGCGTGTGTAATTTTTGTAAATAATTTAATTATACTATATATTATACTATATAATAATTATATTATATATAAAGGAAAATTATATGTTATATGTTATATGTGAAAATTATAGGTTATATAGATTTTTAATATCATGTTCCATGTGAGTAGTGTGTAGTGTTTATAAATTTACATATATATTCTATTTACTCATTTATATATTTATTAATCTCACGTATTAAATACGTGAGATATTTCTCTTATTCGACAATATATGTTTTCTTGTGTTTGGTATAATCATTTATATACAATTAAATACGAATAAATAAGATACATGTAATAAATTTTTAATTTATTTATAAGTATATATTCTCAATTTTTATCATAAAGTAATCATCTATAAAAGGATCTAAAACCTCTAATAAACTCTGTACGTGATTCATAAAAGTATCATGAAACATCTGTAATTCATTCATACAACCTCCACAAGACGTCTGATGGAGATTTGGTAGAGCTTTTTTAGAGCCCATTATGGGATAGTATAGTCTCCATTAAAGATTTATCTGACTTTCATCATGGAGATAGATGTCGCATGGAAGCTGTGAAGGTTATGTAGACCTTTAATAGATGTGTGTTCTGTGTAGGACTATCCACCGTGAAAGTTCGCTGGACGACTAATGGACATTCACGGTGGAATCCTAGGGGATCGTCCACCATGGAGTTTGGCTGGACGGCTAATGGACGTCCACGGTGGAATCCTAGAGCACCATTCTCCGTGGAATCCTAGAGCACCGTGGATGTTTCCTGAACTTTTAATGAACATCTATCTGACTTCCATCGTGGAGATAGACGTTCGAGATGTGGAAGTTTAATGGAGCCAAGGTTCAATGGATGTCCACTGGAAGTTATTTACTTTATGGGAAGACACTATTTCTTATAGTCTTGATTTGCTTGAATTTGTATTGTTGCAAGTATTACTTTTGCTCAACTTAAGATTAAAAATCTTCTATATAAAGATTATAATATTTTTATATTTATATGAAAATATTTGTCTTGATTAATTAAGATTAATTTTCTTGTATATTGACTTATTAAATATAAAAGATATATATTTATAATTATATTGTTATAAAAACTTATCATCCAAGAAAAATATTAAAAAAATATATTTAGGAAAAGACATTTTCAGTAAGAAATATATAAACGTGCATAAATAAAAAGAAAAGATGATAAAATAATTCTTAAACAAGATGATCACCCATTAAATACATAAAAATTAATAAAATAAACTAATTAAAATTTATCCTATTTACCAACAATCAAATTGATAAGAATACAGATAAAAATACATAAATTATTTGGAAAAATTTGACAAAAGTTTCTCAAATATATATAATTTTTTTATTAGTAAGAAAAATATGCCTATGTGTAACTTCTCTGACAAATAAAATTTTTTGATTCTTAAAAAAATTATGTCATTACGTAAAAATATTTTGTGTTACGTTCTGATTGTTCGTTTTTGGGTCAATACATTTAAGTACTTTACCCTGGGATTGGATTTGTAATTTAATCAACCCCGAATAGATAACGAATTTTATAAATTTTGTATTGCGGATCTTTCCTATCAGTTCGATCGTAATTTGGATAATTTATTTCAAAATCAGTTTTATTCAATTTATATTTAGGAATTTGTTTGATTATTTTAATTTCGGGTTGTCTTTCTAATTCTTTAAGTTTTAAGAATAATAGGAAGGGATCTTTATTCAAAATTATCGTTTGATTTAATTAAAATTTTAATCTTTTAATTTGAACTCTGCGCCCTTCTTTTTTGAGCATGAATGCTTTTGGAAATTAATTATTTATTATTAAAACTCTAAATTCAAATTATTTAGTTGCA